TATATTTGTATCAAATTTTACACCTTTTGTAAAAATTATTTTATTTATCGCTTTTCATATTATTTTATCATTTTTAGTGAGAAAATTAATTCTTTCATTTTTTATTTTTTTGCACTATTTTCCCACTTTTGGTGAGAAAGAAATTTTTTTAAAATTTTTTTATTTGAGAATGTCTTCTATATCATTACAAAAATATTCTTATAATTTATTTTCTTAATTTTGTCTTAAAAAACCAAATGTACTTATATAAATTTCACAATCAAATAAAAAATATAAATATTCTATTAAATACATAATGTGAAAAATAACTATATGATTACATAACATTTATATAAAATAGTATAAATAATGAAAGAATAAATATATGTAATATGCAAAATATATTATGTCAATAAAACATTGATATTTTTTAATTTTTGTGAGAGGAAGAAAAAAGGTAATAAAATAAATAAGATTAAATATTCTCATTTGATAGTATTTTTTATACATATTTCAAGGATGTAAGTATAACTTTTTCATTTAATAGTGTCTTCGAGACTAATATAATATATTCAGAACTACTTTAATTCATAATAATATAAACAATAAAAAAATTAGTTAAAATACATATTATGAAAGATGAATTGATAACCTTAACATATCTCTTGAAAAATATGACTTTCTTTATATATATAAAAAAAAAAAAGTCTTCACAACTGAAGGCGCGCGAGAGGAAGCGCGAGGGGGCGAAGGGAGGGGGGGACTTTCTGGTGGAGGACCAGAGGGAACGAAGGAGAAGAGGCGCCACCATGTTTTATTCAGCAGCACCGTGGGTTTAGCTTCTTCCCATTTCAACCATAGAGAGGGTTTTAGCAAACACCAAATTAATATAACTAAATATAATAACTCATTAATTACACAAAAATATAAATGATAATATATATAATTATCTCATATTGTCTTTTTCTTTTTATTGGTTCGTCCCTGGAGTATCCACTCCAGACAGTGGTGACTCGCTACGAGGGAGGCACCTCAAAGGGTGGGATAGCTGGCCCCAAGATTTAACGCGGCTGCATACACAAGGCAGGATTCGAACCCCTGACCTTGCTTAAGCGTGAATCAACCCTTACCATTGAACCACACGCTTGAGGTTTTTTTCTTTTTCTTTTAAGATAAAGTTGTGAAGACTTTTTTTTTTTTATATATATAAAGAAAGTCATATTTTTCAAGAGATATGTTAAGGTTATCAATTCATCTTTCATAATATGTATTTTAACTAATTTTTTTATTGTTTATATTATTATGAATTAAAGTAGTTCTGAATATATTATATTAGTCTCGAAGACACTATTAAATGAAAAAGTTATACTTACATCCTTGAAATATGTATAAAAAATACTATCAAATGAGAATATTTAATCTTATTTATTTTATTACCTTTTTTCTTCCTCTCACAAAAATTAAAAAATATCAATGTTTTATTGACATAATATATTTTGCATATTACATATATTTATTCTTTCATTATTTATACTATTTTATATAAATGTTATGTAATCATATAGTTATTTTTCACATTATGTATTTAATAGAATATTTATATTTTTTATTTGATTGTGAAATTTATATAAGTACATTTGGTTTTTTAAGACAAAATTAAGAAAATAAATTATAAGAATATTTTTGTAATGATATAGAAGACATTCTCAAATAAAAAAATTTTAAAAAAATTTCTTTCTCACCAAAAGTGGGAAAATAGTGCAAAAAAATAAAAAATGAAAGAATTAATTTTCTCACTAAAAATGATAAAATAATATGAAAAGCGATAAATAAAATAATTTTTACAAAAGGTGTAAAATTTGATACAAATATATTACATTATGTTTAATCCTTTGATATAAATAAGGACATTGTCGAAAGTATAATAATTTTACATATGTTGTATTTATAATGTTGTATGATATTTAAGACATAAAAATTATGAGTAGTGAAGTTTGTCCTCAAACTTATTTAGATTTTTATGTGATTTCTTGAAAATATTATAAGTATCTTTACATTAGTAATTTAATATTATTTATGATTGAATTAATTGAAGTAATTAACTTATCATATAATTTACGTTATTGAATTTAAAGAATTTTGTTGCAAATTCTATCGATAGAATTGATATTATTTATTTTCATAATGTTATGTGTTTATTATTTAAATCATTCAATTATAATTTGATTAAAGTTTGAATAGGAATAAGATATTTTAATAAAAATATGATCAACTTTTATTTTCTTTATTTTTTTATACAACATTTATATAAGAGAATAATTTTCCTAATTTTCAACTTTATTTATTTTTTTCTTTAAAGTTGATCTAACAATGACATAAATATATTTTTATTAAATAATTTTTTTAAAATTATTTTATCATTTTGTTATTATACATTATAATGAAGAAGTTTCACTTATATTTTTTTAAATAAAAGAAAGATAATATGGGATGGAAAAAAAAATATGACTAGTGTATTATTTTTGGGAGAAGATTAAATAATTATATTTTCATTATGTATTATTTTCTTTTTTGTGTAATTGTTTGACTACTATATATACTTATAAATAGATTAGTTATCTCCAAAAAAAATAATATATAAGTCAAATTCCCTTTCTCTCTCATATTTTCTTATTTATCTATTATTATTTTTCTTTTCATAACCATTAACAAAATTTATTAAATATTTATTAAAAACTTAAAGAATAGTTAAAATTATATAATTATAATATTTAAACAATTTCCACATTCGAAACTTAGATGATATCGATAATATTGATGACTTAAAAATGTAATTATGAAAAAATAAAATTGATGATATATGAGAGAATGTTTTCAGTTTATCTGTATAGAAAGTATAAATAATTATATAAAATGATATAAATGATTTGGCATTCTTTCAATTTGTCCAGCAAAATACAAAATCGCGCCAGGTAGGGGTCGAACCTACGACCTTCTGCTTAGGAAACAGACGCTCTATCCACTGAGCTACAAGCGCTATTTTATATAAAACAGTAGACATACGCTATTTTACTTCATTGTTTCCATCTTAGCCGAAACTAATTTTAATAAGAAAACGAGGCTTAAATATGTTTTTAATCCTTTAAATTTAAGATAAATTTATTTTTGTCCCTTAAATTTAAAATTATTATTTTTAGTCTTTTTAATTTCCAAAAGTTTTATTTTAATCCCTTAGGTCACTAATAACATATTTTTTGACTTATATATTATTTTTTTTGGAGATAACTAATCTATTTATAAGTATATATAGTAGTCAAACAATTACACAAAAAAGAAAATAATACATAATGAAAATATAATTATTTAATCTTCTCCCAAAAATAATACACTAGTCATATTTTTTTTTCCATCCCATATTATCTTTCTTTTATTTAAAAAAATATAAGTGAAACTTCTTCATTATAATGTATAATAACAAAATGATAAAATAATTTTAAAAAAATTATTTAATAAAAATATATTTATGTCATTGTTAGATCAACTTTAAAGAAAAAAATAAATAAAGTTGAAAATTAGGAAAATTATTCTATAATTATAAATAAAAGTACTTCAACGGAAAACTCAACACCCATGCATACATACAGGTGGAATTGAGGCTCTCAAACTTGACTATCCTCAAGGTCATGATTCCTCAAACTTTTATATAAGGGGGACCTTCTTTAACAATGTATTCTATATTGTACCTGTCACAAAAGTAATTTATTCACGTGATACATCTTACACAAGATTCAATGCATATTCAGATGAAACCTAGTGATAATTGAGGTTTAGGAGGTGCAAAGGGGAGAATAAAATCCTCAAAAGAGTAAGAAAGGCTTTTGGTATAGCAGAATTGCTACTTGCATAAATTGGTAGGGTATAGGTTTTTGCACATTTATAAATAAGGTTACATGATATCTATCTTTAATTTGGCATTAGGTTTACCAACAAGAAAATTTGGGACTTTACCCTCCAATTTGGACATCTCTGAAATCTTTTACCTAGATTGCTGACAGTTGTTGAGGTCAACATAATCACTCTTGCTCCACACTCACAAAATATCCCTACCTAATGTTGACTCAAATGATGAGTTATTGTTTGTTGGCACAAATGGTTGAGATCGAGACATATCTTCTCATAGTTTTTATACTTGAGTCAACCTTTGTTCAATGACGAAGATGAGGAAGATGGAGCCATCACGTGTTCACCGACAAAGTTAGGGCTTGATTTTTCTTTTCACTTTTTGTCTATCTCTACTTAAAATGCATTACACAAATTTTTACCTAAATAATAATATTTTTATTATTACATGTGTCATATAATTTAACATCTAACTATTAACTACATAAATATTAATAGTTTAGCTAATCATCACTTACTAGCACACACCATTAATAAATTTTTTAAATAATAATTAATAAAATAATGATAAAAAATTAAAAATCAACATTGGTTAATATAAGTGATAATGTCTTGTATTCTTTGACCAAGATATTTAGAATTTAAATCTTGATCTTGAGTATTAAATAAATTATGTTGGAAGGAAAATATCCACATCGTATGAATTCACGATCTTTATTAGAAATTAATCATTATTTTCAACGATAAATATTTCATATCAATATTATAATTATAAAAAAATAATAAAAAATTAAAAATTAACAAAAAAAAAATCACGATGGATTAAAAATTAAAATCTTAAATAATTGAGAGACTAAAATCTTATTTAATAATAAATATGTAGATTGGAGTAAAAATTAAACCATTCATCAAGACACTAAAATTTAAATGAGGTAAGAAGAGAGCTCAGTAGTGAGTCGTTCATGGATTATACTTTTGTGTCCAATGATGGAGGGTAAAAGTGACTATATACATAATCCATTCCACTCTCCCTCTCGCAAACAAATATCAAAATCAACCCTTCATATTTTTTCACATCACTCTTCAAAAACGTTTCACTTTTCTCTCTTTTTCCTCTCGCCATGTCCTCCCCAACCCCTGAAATCTCCGACGAAACCCTAAACCCTAACACCACCGAACAATGTCCACCGCCACCGCCACAATCGCCGCACCCCGATCCCCAAACCCTAACCCTCTCCGATCCAATCCCTTCCCTCACCGATCAACCTCCTCCTTCCCCCAACCGAGACCGAGACACCTTCATCGAAGACCCCATCCCCACCCTCACCGCCGACGACCCGGAGCCTGACGCTCCCGCC